ATGCAAAGAAAATATCTTTTTGTCCAAGCGAAAAAAAAAAATTAAAGATGAAAGATGAAGTTTTCAAAGAAACTTTTTATTACAACACTGGGATTCATTCTCTTTGAAAACAGGTTCATGACTTTTTCAAAACTTCTAACGATAAATCTAGTACCGGAATTGATCCCGAAGACGATCTAAAAAATGTCAACTAAACGAAGACGAAATTTCAAATTAGATTTTTCTTTTCGATGCGAAAGGATTCAATTTCAACATGGATTCCGAATACATATCAACCATTCATCTAGAACGAAAGACGTGAATCATATCTTTTTGTACAGGGAATTGCTAGTCATCTGGTGTTCAAAATAAATATAAATTCTGACATTTCTTTTCCACATATACATTAGGCACATATTTTACACACATTTGCACACTAGATCTATGATTCACTATTCACTTGTTATGTTAATTCAATATAGCGCTAATATCCATTTTGGCAGTAAAAATATGCAATATGCATAAACGAGTTAGCTTATATTTTATGATACGCTTACGCTAACAATATCATGGTGGGCAGTTATTGTCTGCTCGTTTTCCCAAATGGAACATTACGCCATTTAATTAGTATAATGATCGAAGGATCCCAGGTATTCCAAAGCGGCACGGTAGCAGAACTGGTACTGATCCTGAAATTAAATATTCAAGTTAGTTAAAACAGTCATAAACAAGTCAATGAAAATATTCTCGGACAGTCAAGCATCTACATTGGTAGCAAATTGCCAAAAACGACCCTCCTCGACAGCAAGACTTAACAGATTGTCTCTGGTCTGGACTCCTGGCCATACTGACCTGGAACCATCGGACCAGAACCTGTCATTGGCATCGCTTCAGGCTTTGCCAAACAAAGATTGAACACCTGGATGCCAAGAAGATTTATGGACTTCTGGCAGAATCTTCCAGGACTGGCTCACCCCAGAGCGTTAATTCACCCTCTGAAGCTTGATAACAAACAGTTGTTGGACTGTAGTCTGACAATTTTCAATTGAAGGTAACTCTATACAAATTGAACTGAGAGCTAACAGCAACAATGTTATATGTTACCGGGGTCATTTTTATTGTATATGCATCGCCATTGTGAATAATTGAAAAGTAAGATGATTTCGTAAAATTCGCCCCCCGTAACAAGATAGCTTCTGCATATCGACAGGATGTACGAGCGAATAGGTGAACCAGTTCGTTAAATACTTTGAAACATCGGTAAACTGAACACTTCGCAGGTCTATTATATTTGCGTCCTTAAAATGCCATAACTAGTCATTCGGTTTCTTCATTATCAAGCGTCCTTATCTGCATAGGCGTAGTGTGTTCTGTTTCTTGTGAAGGTGACTTTGTTTTGTATTTATTAAATATATTTTATTATATTTATTAAATACACTGTTATATTTATTAACTTCAAAATATAAGATAGAGTTGGCCGATACTTGTTTTTCAAAATACATTATCATAGATTTTCATCACATNATTTTTTATAATCAATCGATTAATTAATGAAGAAAAGAGAAATTAAACTTTCTATGTTTTAACCACTTTTATTTGTAACTGACGTTACTGCAGTTTCGTCCTTTAAGGACATTTTCAAACTTATATATTGTATGAGTTTGTTGGGCTGTACTTCAGGAACCACCCTCATACAATAACTATGAAAATGATAAATAACGACCATTATTGTTATCAGAAGCAAATTGGGTTTATTTTCTAAAAGAGAAAGTGAGCTACTAAATTTCAGGCAACATAAACTCACCTCGGTTTGTACCATTGCCGGGCGCTGAGTTCGCAAAATTCTTGCTGTCTGGAACACATCTACAACACCTTCATACTGCATCCTCTCCAGTACTATACTCAAAGTGATGAATACACCAGTCCTTCCTACCCCAGCACTGCGAAAACATGGTAAAAACAATCAATAATCATTCTATTCCAAAATATATTAATATTGACTATGGAGTGCCACAAGGATCGGTTTTAGGACCCACTTTTTTCTTGTATGTATGAATAATTTACCGAGTGTGCACACTTTTGGAAAAATTACTTTATTTGCAGACGACACCACCCTTTTATGGCATGCTAAAACTGTTGGCGATTTGAATAATAAGATATTCATAGGCATAAATCAAATCTTGGGGTGATAATAATTAGTATGGGGTGTATGAAATAAATGCAATACAAAAACTTCTTCGCTAACCTGCAATGTACAGTGATGGGGCCATCCTGTCCAAGACAATAAAGTGTTTTTCAAAATACATAGTTTTTGAGGTAAGTAAACAACTGACAAATAGCTGAATAATATGATTGAATTTTATTATTTTTATAGTATTAAGATGGATGCCGTAGCAGGTCCAAGTAATGTACAAAGAAAGCGGAAGTTTATATCGTTAGAAGAAATTAAAAAAATACACTCCGTACAGTGGAAGCTGTAGCCCAGTGTTCATTTTTAAGGGGAATATCGGTGTCAACAATTGAATGCATTATACGTGAAAAAATGTGACTGGGATTGTGCAAGCTCCAAAAGTATATTGTCGTGATAGAAAAAAAATTGAATTAGACGAGTACCAGAAAAATTTTGTATGCTATACCATTCATTCTTTCTTTTTGGGAATAAAGCGCCAACATTCGAATCCATTAGAACAAAGGTAATGGATAATGATCTCATTTCAAAAATGAGCAAAAAGAAGTTAAGGAATTGAAGGGGTTATGTTACCATACTACTCCATGATTATTTAAAAAAAAAAAAACTTTCTTTCCCAAAAGTTAAGGAAAATAATATATGCCAAACGACACCGTAAATCTGTCTTAATAGAAAGAGAAGATATAGTCTCATGGCGACGGAGATAT